AATGCTGGACAGCCAAAGGTCTTTTTTGTAGCCATTTTAGCAATGCAACGTTCTTGGTGCATCTGAAACTAACAATAACAAATAATTCCTGGACTACTGCGCATGTGTAAACCGGTGTGGTGGTTGCTGTTGCCGTTTCCGAACAAAGCAGTAGAGGTCGCTGTTGGATTTGACTTCATTGTAGTGAATCTCGTCACGACACGAGGCAAGAGCAGAGAAAAAGATTTCGTATAACGCAACAGGGTTTTTTTTCCGTTATATGGGAGGCAGGAAAGTGGGAATGGTGTTAATGCATGAAGATTTTTTCATACTAGGGGGGTATTTTCGCCCATGCAGGTTTCGTTGTAGAGGAGTTTCACTGGAACGTAATATTTGAATTGTCTATGCATTGCAAGTGCAGATAGTGGGGCATGGAAGGGTTAATTCTAGTTTGAGGTACATACACAGGTACTGCTATGACCTTGATTCCAGTGCTGTGGGTACTCGTTGGCCTCTTGGCCTGTGGAATTTATTGAGCCATTTGTGTATTCATTGTTTGTAATGTGGTTCGAAGACAAACCTTGTTACGGTATGAAGTAATGAGAGAGTAACAGTAACTAATCAGGGCACAGAATGCTAGTGGGGTGTTGGGCAATGAGAGGTGCCGCCTTCACCTTTGTGGAATTAAGTGCTTGCTGTTCAATCTATCGCTCTCTTTTGGACATGACGTGAACGAACGTATTTTTCAGGTGCACGAAAGAGGCGCTTCGGGAGGGAAGAGAAGGGAGAGAAAGTCGTTATTAGTGACTGTGTGAGAAGTTTGAACGTCATGTGTGTTGAGCTTAAAGCAATTTGTTGCTAAAATGTAGTTACCTGAACCCGGGATTGGTTCATCCGAAGAACAATTGGTTGATGTGTTAGATGTGATATATTGTTTACCAACTATTTTGTGAAATGTAGTCATGTTCAAAGGATTTAACTATGAAGTCAAGGCTTGGTGTGTGCATTGAATTTAGTCAGGTTCAAAGGATTTAAGTATTAAGGCAAGATTTGCAGTATTCGCATGATGTAGATAAGATGAAAAAAAAAAGATGTGTGTGTGTGTGTGTGTGTGTGTGTGTGTGTGTGTGTGTGTGTGTGTGTGTGTGTGTGTGTGTGTGTGGTTCGACTGGTTAGGACGTCCACCAGGTCCGGCCTTCCTGTGTGGAGTTTGCATGTTCTCCCTGTGCCTGTGTGGGTTTTCTCCGGGTACTCCGGTTTCCTCCCACATTCCAAAAACATGCATGACAGGCTGATTGAAAATTCTAAATCAGGGTTCACCAACCTTTTGGAGAGTGAGAGCTACTTCATGTGTCCTCATTGTGTGAAGGGCTACCAAATTGATACATGTCAGAAATAACAAAATTTGTACAAATTGCATTTAATAATATTAGAATGTGTTATTTTTAATCCTTAATGATAATTTAATTTTCAGGCTCTGATCATCTTCAAGATGTCTCACAATACTGCCCGTGTTAACATTTTTAAATCATAATTTCTACTAGCAAATCACAATCCTAGTACTGGCGGGCTACTGGTGTGGTCCTCACGGGCTACCTGGTGCCCGCGGGCACCACGTTGGCGACCCCTGCTCTAAATTGTCCCTAGTTGTGAGTGTGGATGGTTGTTCGTCTCTGTGTACCCTGCAATTTGCTGGCAACCGGTTCTGTCCCCGCCTACTCACTGAATACAGCTGGGATAGGCTCCAGCACCCCCTGCGACCCTTGTGAGGATAAGCGGATCAGAAAATGGATGGAGATAATTATATATAACATTTGGATGACATACATCCAATATTTATTTATGTATGCCACCAAAAACAGTTTTCGCTTTATTAATTTGAACCAATTTAAAAACATTGTTAAGGGACTGCTTCACACAGAGTCTTCTTCCATTATTAGAATAGCCTTCAATTTCTTCATGGTGTGTAATTTTCGGTCACATTTGGAAATGGTACTTGTTCATTGTGAATATTGCTCCGAAGCTTGCTTTGAAGAAAATCGTGAATCGAACCTTTTTCAAAAATCCAATGGATATTACAATGCGGGGTGAATCTGTGAATCTTTAGTGAGAAGCCATACCCAAGGATGTGTTCACAGATGAGCCTGCAGTAGTCACTGTGGGAGCTGGTAATGAGAAGAAGGATTTTCCCTGCGTTCTTCATGCTGCGTAGCCAAGACTTGACGGACTCAGAACAGGTCTGCAAGTAACGGCCAGGGTCCCTCTTAACATTGGGAAAATAAGTCCCTGCATCTTCTGAAAAGACAAAAACGAATAATTACGATACAAGCCTTGATGATAAATAGTTTTCTACCTCTTAAAATGCTTCCTGTTAAACACCAAAGTGTGACTCGTACTGTGGTCAATACACAAAACTAGGTGCTGAAAAATGTCGAGAGCAGTCAATTGAATACATTTATTTATTTCAGAATTCTCACCGACATGCGCGACCGGCGCAACATGCAGAATAACATGTATGTGTTGCATGCAAAGTATGCGTCTCCCCAGTGAATTCAGTTTCAGGTACAAAAAACTGCTGAGTTGGAATAAAATTCATACCTCGAAATGCCGATGTGTTGTAATTGTGGTCAATGGCAGCGACCATGTCTTTCCAAAAATCGGAATTCACTTCATTGCCCCACTGTTCACAAAATATAAATGAAATAAATGAAAAACGTTTTCAAATTGCAATGTCAACCGGTTACATCAGTGGTGTCCAAACTACAGTCCAGGGGCCATTTGGGGCCTGCCATCCATTTTTCACCGGCCCATGGCATGACAAAAATATATATAATAAAAAAATAAAAAAATATTATATGAAAAAAAAAAATATATATATATATATATATATATATAAATAAAACTGTTGGCCACCCTAAAAACTGAGAAATCCTCAACTATTTGCCGAAACACCTTTAACAGAAAGCTGATGATATTAACTAGACAATACAAACAATGTAGAATTGCTTTCTTAATTGACTATAGATTGTTTCAAAAAGGTTAAGAATTTTAAAGTGGCCCTTTCACCCTTCCATTTTTCTGTATGCGGCCCTCAAACGAAAAAGCTTGGAGACCCCTGATTTACACGAAACTACATACAGTGGTACCTATACATAGGAGCGTCTCTTCATACGGAATTTTCCGAAATGTCTCAACGGAAAAATATTGCCTCGTTCCAAAAGAAATTTCAACATACGAAAGGTAAAACTACAGAATGGGCTGCTACTTGCAGCTCAGAGTTTCCTCAACGCAGCATACTTATAGCTGCTCTGCCATTGGCTATTACCTAGCATCTTCCTGGCATCCCATTGGCTAAGAGGGACTTAGACCGTATGTGTTTATATGATAAGTGTGGATAGATATGTATCTATGCAGCGTCCTCGTCATTCGCCCCTCGGGCCATGAAGCGTTCCGATAGTTTGGCGGAAATGTGAGTCACCCAGAAAAAGTGTTCACTCGTCGGGCAATCGCTCACAACGCTGAAGTTTGCCAAGGACATTTTTGAAGGATTGCTAAAAGCCGACAAAAGCAAACGTCCTTGGACCACTTCTGAGAGAGAACATGAACTAAAGAGGGCAAAAAAAAAAAATGCTGAGTATGCAATTAAAAGTTAATGACCATAATTTTTATTCTTTATTCTTTGGTTTTTACATTATGCACAACTGTCATTTATTGTGCAATCATCTATTTGTAACATGTATTTGTTCCATATTTTGATGCATGTAATGCTTTGGAAACATTTATGTCTGAATTTGGGGGGGGGGCTTGGAACGGATTAGGGCATTTACATGGAAAACACGTCCCTACTTACAACATTTTCTAGCTAGGAAATTTCTTCCAGAACCAATTAATTTCGTCAGGTTTTAATTTAATATTACCTTGTGCAACATGTCCACAATTCTTCCGCAGAGGAGAGCACCAGGTAGATCAAAGTAGTTGTCATATAAATAGTATTTCGCTGCATCGTCCAAAACAGAGTAGCAACAAAATTAATTCAACAAACACAGATACAGTGAAGGCATTTTGGCATTGTTGACAAAAAACAAATTATGCTTCACATGTAGTAAAATACTGAAAAATACCAGATCTTGCAAAAGAGGTATTGAGGCTGTTAAAGTGCTTCCATTCCCTTTTTGGACCATAATGTTTGATGATCTCTTCCGTGCTCAGATCCGTAGTTCCATGTGTTGCTCTAATCAAGGAAAGTATCCACATGTTCACACACATCCCACTTCCAAATGATTCCAAAGACATCAACACACATGTTCAATATACTGGCCTCGCAGGAAATTTGTGATACACTCGAGATGGGATTCATTCGCCTGTTCTTTTAAACTCATTCAGGACCAGCCAATTCTAGACCAAGTCTGAAAAGACATTTAAAAACGTCTTTGGGTGTGAATGAGTTAAAGACAATTGCTTTCAACCTAAAGAGGCCAAGACACAAAATACGTGGTGGTAAAACTAGATGCCCCCTTTCAAATTTGCAATTTCGATCCCCGATCCAGCATTGGTACTGTGCTGACTGGACAGCATTTTGGTAAAAAGGTCGACACATTTTTTAAAAATGTCATTCTAAATGGTTTGTGTAGAAGGGTCTTCCATAAATTCTGCGTGTGTTAGAGTAGAAGCATACCTCAAGACTGTTCCATCTTCAGCAAGCTTCACTAAGTTCCCATCTTCAAGGTCCACCACTAAGCCCTTAAAACTGTGACCAAAAAAAGAACCATTAATATTGCAGCTCCCCAATGACCCTTTTAAAAATATTTGAACAGCATGATTTCCCACTGAACACAATCTTTTATAAATATAGAATTTTTGATACAGATGAAACATGTATCGTGTTAAGTTGAAATAAATAAATGTTAACATTCTTCTGTTTTTAGTAAGTCGGTATCCTCTGCCTGGTATTTTTAGAATGGACCTGTGGGCTACTCTTGTTGTCTATGGTGCTAACTAGTCGGGATGTAACAACATCCAAACGTCACAATATGATATTACCGTATTGGCCCGAATATAAGACGGCCCTGATTATAAGACGACCCCCTCTTTTTCAAGACTCAAGTTTGAAAAAAGACTTTTTGAAAACCAAATTATTTTTTCTACAGAAATAATTACAGCACATCTGAAACAAATGATTATAACAATATATTTGAGAGAAAAAGCATTTTATTTTGCCTCATTCAAATCTAAAGTGCAATCACATTCGTAAATGAATGGCTTCTGGTTTTTGAAATGTAAATTACATCATATAACTTCTCCTCAGCTGCCGGTTAACCTGGCCGATCTTTGACCCAATTTTCTCCAGATTGTCTCTACGTTTCTCCATTTTCTGTTGTCTCTTCTATTATTTTCTTCTCTTTTCCTTCTTACCGCTATTTTTTATTTTTTTTCTTCGTGCTACCGCTATTTCTATTTTTATTCTTCGCGGCAGGGGTTCGCTTTGGCCTGGGGAGTCAAGTTCAGCATTCGCTTCAATGATATCTGGCGCCATCTAGCGTCATGAATGGGTATACATTTCTAGACCCCGAATATAAGACGACCCCCACTTTTTCAGTCTTATTTCAATGCAAAAAACACTGTCTTATATTTGGGCCAATACGATATTATGATATGAAGAACGAGATCCCGGATACAAGTGGCCGAGATGGGTTTCCTCCGCAGGGTGTCCGGGCTCTCCATTAGAGACAAGGTGAGAAGCTCGGTCATCTGGGACGGGCTCAGTGTCGAGCCGCTTCTCCTCCATGTCGAGAGGAGCCAGATGAGGTGGCTCGGGCATTTGATTAGGATGCCTCCTGGACGCCTCCCTGGTGAGGTGTTCCGGGCATGTCCCACCGGCAGGAGGCCACAGGGATGACCCAGGACATGCTGGAGAGACTATGTCTCCCAGCTGGCCTGGGCACACCTTGGGATCCTCCGGGAAGAGCTGGAAGAAGTGGCTGGGGTGAGGGAAGTCTGGGCTTCCCTGCTAAAGCTGTTGCTCCGGCGACCCGACCCCGGATAAGCAGTCGAAGATGGATGGATGAAGATCATGATGAACGTGTGTGTCAGAGTTATTTACCCGGACAAAGTTAAACAAATGACTCGACACACAGGGAAGATTGTCTTTCTGACAGCGGAAGGGGATCTCTGAGAGCGAACGACAGCCAGTTGCTCCGTGATCACACTTAGAGATCCTTGTGCTCCTGTCGGACTTTTATCGTTTACATATGCAAAATAGGGGAAAAACACTGCCCCCGATATTTGCATACCACGCCCCCAGTCCGGCATCTCGGTAGTCATCTGATTACCTTGGTTTAAGCTTTGAACCACAGATACGTTGACACCTTCCAGTCTGGTCTACAACGAATAAGCAAGTCGCAGACTTCACAGATGACAAATGTCCGTCTGGGCGCAACAGCCGTTCCCAAACTGTCTTACGATGATCTACAACACTTCGTTCCCAAATTGTTTACTCCCACTTTGTAACCGAGTCCAGCATTCTTCCATCTGTTCGCCCCGTTGCTTTGACATGATTACTGTGGACTTCAAAAAGCCCTCCACCCAAACGGCCGACACCTTTGCGCACAGGCATTTGGGGGCGCTGAATACGCCCCCAAATGTCTAGACATGCCCAAATTAAGTGAAACTTTCAACATGATACCATTTTGCTCATAGATTTCGCTATCAGTGTGTCATTCTTTTCGCTGTGTATTTAGTTTTACAGTCAACTCTAACTGCACTTATCTACTTTATCTATCCAGCGTTAGGTTTACATGCGAGTCCACTTGACAGTTACAGACTTGGACAACGTGGGAACGCCCGTTGCTGCAATTTATCTGAGAAAAAAAATCAAATTGTATTCCTGCTAATGTAGCAGGGTAGGAAGATTACATTAAAAAAACACACACACACACACACACACACACACACACACACACACACACACACACACACAAAAAACAACAATATTGTGGCACTTGGCATTGGGCGGGCAATCTCTTCTCTGGTGGTTTGTTGCAATACAAGCACCTGAATTAGCTCAAAATTCATTGCGAGTGTTGTGACGTGCTCTTTTTGCAAATTGAAAACGGTCTTTACTTTCAGTCACACTGAAATGTTTGCAAGCATTTTTTTGTTCAGCGCTCCTAAAATAACTGAAAAATATCTGAAGACATCTTTATTAATTATGAGTGAATGAGCTCAGCTCATGTTTGAAGCTCCTACGGGGGTCATGAACACACACAATTTTCATCTTTTTGACTCTCAGTACCACCATACCATACATCCTTTTATTGCGTTCTTCCATCTTTTATTTGAAATGGACCCCCCCAATCAGGGGCGCCAGCTAGCTGCAGGCTAGCATCAATTATCTTCGGATTAAATTAAGTTCCCGTGAGGAACAAAACACCTCAGTTGTGAACATAACTATTTCCAGCCAGTTGTAATGCCAACGTCCGTTTTAAACTCGTGTTGGATATATATACAGACTCGGTAGTGAAGCAGAAATGGATGAGCCGATCGGTTTTCTTGGTTTTCAAAAACCATTCACCCCTATTTGATATCCGCCTCAAGACGGAAACCTCATCGAAAATGACGCGCATGTCTCTGCCTGCTTTTCTCCTGAGCAAATTGGAAGTTGACACAGACAAGATTCATTTATGATGCTTTTCCAGCTTTCCGATTCCAAATTAAACTGTTGTCACCTTTCCATCTGACTTACCAAAAATCCCAGGTCGCAGGTGTTAGGTTTAACAAGTCCTTATCGTAGCCTTTATGTTCCACTAAATACCTGGCAAAGCTCTCGTAGATCAGCTGCAAAAAACAGAGAAATGATCACATTACTGAGATGAAAGTGGAATACAAGAACATGAGTACATCACACATCACTTCTGAATTTTAGAAGCTGTCGGCTGTTGTCTTGGATCTGAAAAAGTCTCAGATTCAAAAATTCTGCTAAAGCCAAAGGAAAGTAACATAAGAAGCGCAACCCAACAAATTCGGCTACTTCCTGATCAAAAAATATCAGCAATATAAGCATGTAACGGCAGCACAGCGATCAGGTTGTTTAGCATTTTTCATTCGGGGTGCCACAACGCAAAAATCGGCAATGGCTTTTGTCCTCTCATTCAATTGAATGGGACCCGGTTTGTGAAACAAGCTACTTTTCAAATTTGTGTTATTGGTCCAAAACCTTTTAACGCAGGCTACTGACTGTTTAACATGGGACCTCCTGGCAAATGACTCGCTGAACTCACACTCTCTCTCTGAAAGTAGGATCCAGTTACCCGGTACTGTAATCAGGTGAAGCAGTTCAGAAAATGGATGGTAGGGTAATGAGCATGTATGGTGGCAACCACAAGAGGAGAACAAAAACAAGATATTAGCTACGGTAAAGCATGGTGGTGGAAGTGTCACAGTCTGGGGCGACATGAGTGCTGCCAAAACTGGCGAGCTACACTTCATTGAGCAAAGTATAACTGTCAATACATTCAGAAACAGAGTCTGATGTCTTTCCCTGTTGCAAACTAGTTATAGTATTCCAACATGATAACCCCAAACAAGGGCCAGTGCCTTGCTCAAGAAGCTGAGGGTAAAGGTGATGAACTGGCAATGTAGGCAAACAGACTTACACTCAGTTGAGCACTTGTGAGTGTGTCGAAGGAGGGGGAAAGTATTGAGGGTAGGGAGGGGGGCATCCTCAAACAAATGTATTGGAAAACAATGGTCACCCCACAAAACACTGGGACCAATTTGTACATTTGCATGTAGGGGTGTACTCACTTTTGTTGCCGGCTGTTAAGACAATCAATTTGAAGGGACAGTAAATTGACACGTTTACAAGCTGAACACTATTTAGCGTTGTAGGAAAGAGTAAATTGTAAAGGGATATTCCAAAATAAAATATTTACAAAAACGTAAAGTGAGAGTCACTTTTGTGACATACTGGAACGTGCATGTCACACCACGCACACCCCCTACACATACAGTACAATACAACTTACAACACCGAAAAGACGTGATGTGCACATTAAAGTCAAATTAAAATCATGTATGCATTTAACGTTTCAATAATGTATGCATCTTAATTGGATCGCGCCCACACGTTTTCCAATTTGTCGATATAAACGTAAGGACCCGCCGATTTTTGAATATTCATTTGTAAACAACAAACTTTAAACACATCCGATGCACGTGCATTATGCATACATTTGACAGGTAATCCTTAATCGTTCACTGCCCTGGACTAAATTATGTGGAGTAGTTATCCACGATGCTGCGCGGCGTCACGTATCGCAGCTAGCAGTGTGAGTTTACCATACTCACCTTGGAGGTCTCCTTCAGATGGTATCGGCAAAGCGTATGGTCTAAATCGAAACCGATAACATCGCTGTCCAGCAATCTGAAAAATTCGGTCATCGTAGCTGAAGCTGTAAAACCTTCTGAAAATGTGTTGTAGGATATGTCACAATGAACACCGTGACATGTACTGGGCCACACAATAAGACTCGCGATTCAGGCGTTACTGACCGTGAAAATGAGACTGCTGTCTTTAACCAAACTACACTGCTATGGTCAACAGGACAGTGGCACCGCCTGGTTGACTACATCCAATGCGAAAATATTTCGGTTTCACAACCATTGGAGTCAACAGCTCATACGCGAGCGCCTCACCTCTTCTTCATCTTCAAACATACACGGTAGGTGGTGGCTATGAACCAGCATATGACTGCCACCTTTCGGTTACAGCTGTTGCAGCCCGCCAAGCGACGTTCTGACGTTGGCGGCCATCTTGGCCGCCACCTTGGTGGGGGCAACGTTCCATCAAAGGTAGGGTGTCAAAGTCAAGGCCCGGGGGCCATATTCGGCCCGCCACATCATTTTATGTGGCCCGCGAAAGCAAATCATATGTGTCAACTTCCATGACCCTTGCTTAAATCTGTACCGAAATCTCAAATTGTCATATGTAATAATTAACTGTGACATTTTGCAATAACTTTGTGACCCGGTTAACACTCACTTGAACAATAATTGAACAAATACTTGACTGATTTCAAAACTAGTGAGGCATTGTTTTTTTTTTGTTTTTTTTTTGTGGACAAGTAATAATAATACGATGTGATGATTAAACATTTATTCGGTTTCACTGTCATAACGGCCCTCCGAGGGAAGACATAATTCCAAAGTGGCCCGTGACTAAAATTAGTTTGACACCCCTGATCAAAGGCAATGCATGTACATTGAAAATAAACCACAAGTTTCTCATTTCTAACGTATATATATTTGCCTGTCCATATGTGAACACGAGAAAACCAAGATCCTGATGTAAGGTATGAGGTGCAATTGTTATTTTGTGACCACATTCATCCATTGTTGTAAATTTACAATTTAGAAGATTGTAAAAATCATTCAGTAATGCTCAAAATCAAATTGAATGAACGCAATTCACAGTAGGTAAAAACGTACGTTACAAACAATGCTTGCAGTACCAATGACGACCAGAAGATAGCGCCAAAATACACAGGAAAAGGCCCGGAGGACAATCTGAAGCAACAAATAAGTTTGAGAACAACGCTTTCCCAGGTGCCAGCGAAACTGATTAAATAAATTATTTAAATTGTTATTATTATTATTTTTAATATGAATGCATTTTCTAAACTCGTGATTGACTGTCCAATCAAATGAGAACGTTCTACAGCTGTTATTAGAAAAGGAGCAAGCTGCAGACCAGCCATAATCGGATCAGCCAACAAAAATAAAAATTTTCGCAGTTCCATATAAAATCCACAAAATTAACTATTTATGCAAGACAACAATAGATGGGAACAACGACAGTCCATCTTCAACAGGCTGAGTGACAGGGAAGCGTCCAAGATCCTCCATATCCAGGCGTCCTCTGTGGTTCAACCACTTCATCATCCGCATAAGTGGTTAGAGCTTCTCTGATTGCAAAATCAGAGAAGTTAAAGGAGACACAAACTGCGGACATGGAAGAATTGAATGTAAAGGCAAAAAAAAGAGCAACTTGAATAGTACTCATAAAAGTACTGGATGAGTGTGAGGATGAAGACAAAAATGTCGCTTCTCAGCATGCAGACTCATGTCGTAGCTTGCTCCCATTTATTATCAACAACCAGTCACACATACACGTAAACAGATCTCAGTACCAAGTTAAACATGAAATGCAAACAGATCGGAACACACACTTTTGGGGTGGAACTTAGTTTTTTTCCCCATCTCAGCCGGTCGAAGTCATAGGCTGTGTCCAAATTCAGAGACTCCATTCTCCGAAGTCTGCATGGGTTTTTTAAGCGTGACGTCACTTCCGGTGTGCACCTATTGTACGTGGTTTCCAAATTCACATCAAGCCCGTCCAGAATCATCATGGTTTATGCGGTCCATGGATGCTACACGAGGAGGAGCCTATGAAGGAGTCCAAGGATACAGCTTGTGAATCGTCTTTCAAGAATTTGGAAACCACGTGCAGTCGAATTGCGCCGGAAGTGATGTCATGCGGCCTTTGAAGGACGCAGTTTGTGAATTTGGATACAGCCGTAGATGGGAGGCAAGCGTTATTTTGTTTCATGGCTTGGTTTAAGACAAGATATGAAAACCTTTATTTGTCTCACAATCGAGAAATTCCCAATTTACAGCAGCAAAATTATGAAAGGGAGAAAATAGAAGAAAAAAGTATATCAATATAAAGTATAAATATAAGCATATTAAAAATAGGTGAGTGGGGGTGAGTCCAGGTTTTCAGGACCGTCTATTCAATAGCCTGACAGCAGTCGGCAGGAACGAACGGCGGTACCTATCCTTCTTGCCGCCCAGGTGTATCAGTCTCAGGTGTGTGTGTATCAGTTTGTCACATTCCGTAATCCAAATTCAATCCGTATTCTTCCTCTTGTCCACTTCAACCTGTGAAAATCATAAAGGGATCTGCACATTGTTATGAATTTATTGATATCCAGACAGACACGCATCTTGACATCGCAGTGTGAGTGGGCGCCAATTTCAGATGAACGGGTCCTCGACAAACTCCGGAGGTCGGCTTGGTGAAATTTCTATGTCACAGCGGGAAGTGCGCTTGCTAAGGTTCCGCTTCAAGAGCGTCACTGTCAGATAGCGAGCTGCACGACAAGTTCCAGAAGTTTCTTGGTGAAATGTCCAAGTTGGACTTATCCTGTGTGACCCTAGTGAGGATATTCGGTGCAGATAATTTACTATCTTGCTGACTTATCAAAAAAAAAAACAAAAACAAAAAAAAAAAAACAGCCAAGACATGACAGAAACTGCACGTAAGCTGCTCGTATCCTCATTCTCTTTAAGTCAGCCATGGATAAGCAAATCGTTTTGTGATATTTGAAGAGGTGAAAGTGCGCCTAATTAACTCTCCACATACATTTTCAGAGGGGTGCGTCGGAGCAGGGAAAAATATAACCGACTGGATAAGAGCTCCCGAAGACCGGACTTGCAGACCCTTGATTTACAATGATTTTGAGCTCAGCACTGACACGTGTTGGTCTAGCGCGGGGGTCGGCAACACGCGGCTCCAGAGTCGCATGCGGCTCTTTAGCGACATCTACTGGCTCCCTGGAGCTTTATAAAAATGTTTGAAAATGGAAAAAGATTTTGAGAGTAGGCTAATATAGCTCAAATAGATATAGATACATGTTGCAGCTCCGAAAAAGGAGAGCTGTGGTGTTGGTTTTTTAAAACGTACACTTTATTTATGCTTTTAACAGTCTCGACAAACACAGACACGTCTGCGTCCGACTCCGTGCCTTCTCTCTTCACGTTCAACTCGAGAGGCGTTCAAAGACAGCCTCCGAAAAACGGAAATTAACGATCACTTGACTGACACTAAGAATAGCGAAAATAATGCACCAAAACAAAAAAATCTAGCGAGGAAATCACAAAATAAATTCTTCACACAACAAAGGAATGAATAACAAACAATTCTGAGACAGTCCAGTCCCCTACATACATACATCATGTGTTTCCTTCATTGTATGTTTTATAGAAGGCTTTTATATTTTTTGCGGCTCCAGACATATGTTTTTTGTTTTTTGTCCTATATGGCTCAACATTTTGGGTTGCTGACCCCTGGTCTAGAGGCTCCGTACTTTGACACCAGCTGCACTTGGAGTCGTTTTTCTGGCCGTAAGAGTGACAAAATACAACGCAGAGAAAAAATATTTGCCCCCTTCCTGATTACTGTGTTCTTTGCATATTTATCACACAAGAGTTTCAGTTCATCAAACCAATTTTAAGATCACACAGAGACAATCCAAGGAAATCCAAAATGCAGTTTTCAAATGACAATTCAATTTATTAAGGCACAAAAAATACCCCGAACCTTTCTGACCCTCTGTGAAAAAGTAATTGCCCCCTTGTTAAATCACAAAGTAACTGTGACTAATGACAATTTTGGAAAAGCTGAGTTCAATTTTACAGGCAACACCCTAGCTCCACATTTGTTGAATTAAGACATCACATAAATGGAAGCCGTCAGGCAAAGTGAACTAGGCTGCAAAATCTCAAGAAATAAACGATCCGAAGAAATTCAAGAAGAAATTAGAAAAAAATATATTTCAATCTATGAGTCTGGAAATCAATCAATTTCGAAGAATCTGGGGCTTCAGCAAACCACTGTCAGAGCCATTGTCCACAAATGGACAGTGGCAAATATTCCCAGGAGTTGGCGACCAGCTAAAATTACTCCAAGAGTGCAACGATGACTCATCCAGGAGGTTGCAAAAAAACCGAGAGCAGTGGGTCGGCAACCTATGGCTCGCGAGCCAGGTGTGGCTCTTTTGATGATTGCATCTGGCTCGCAGATAAAACAAAATATTCTCACTTGTTTAATCCACCCATCGATTTTTCACTGCTCATGTCCTGTTCAGGGCTGCAGTTGGCTGCGCTAGCAATTTTAATTGGATGATACTGGCTTACGTTGCCGTTGCTGGGTAAACAGGTAACGCCCCCTTTTGAATCAGCCCGCTTGGTCATTAGCTCAAAGCTAATCCTTCGACGAATAAGATGGCGAACAGAAAAAAAGATGCCGAGTATGGTACACTTCAGGACGAATGGACCGAAGGATTCACATCTTTGTGGAGAGAACAGGTTCTGCGGTGTGTCTAATTTGCAATGACAAATACCATCGATGAACCGGTTGAATGTAAAGCGGCACTTTGACACGCGCCATGCTACGTTCGCATCAAAATACCCCGCGAGAGACAGCAGAAAGGAAGCGTGCAAGGTACTGAGCAGGGTGCCAGCTCGCCAGCAGCAACTCCACGTCCGGATATTTAGCAATAATGAGGAATGGAAAACCATTCACAATAATGGTGAGTATTATAACAAAATTATTTCAAAAGAATAAATTCAGACGCTTATTATACGGACACTGTGTTGAATTCACCTTTACAATATATTTTATGGCTGTCACTGAAATACATTTCCAAATATTTTGCTTTCCTGGCTCTCTTAGTCAAAAAGGTTCCCGACCCCTGACCTAGAGCAACACCCAAAGAATTCCAGGCCTCACTGGCCTCAGTTCAGATCAGTGTTCAGGACTCTACCTTGAGAAAGGCACTGGCCAAAAATGGCATCCATGGGAGAGCTCCCAGGTGAAAACCATTTCTGTCCAAAAAGAACACAAAGGCTCATCTTACATTTGCTAAAAGACATTTTGATGATCCTCAAGAGTTTTGGAAATACATTTTGTGGACTGATAAATCAAAAATTGAACTTTTTGGAAGCTGTGTCTAGGGTAAAAATCGCACGCATGTGATAAAAAGAACATTATGCCAACAGAGAAGCATGGTGGTGACAGTCTGATGGTCTGTGGCCGCTTTGCTAACTCATGACCAGGAGAACTTGCTGTGATTGATGGGGCAATATATTCTGCTGTCTAATAGCAAATCCTGAAGGTGAGCGTCCGACAATGTGTTTGTGCCTTCAAAGTCAAGCACTCTTGGATCACGCAGCAGGACAATGATCCAAAGCACACCAGAAAGCACACCTCCGAATGGCAAAAAAAACCCCAACACAAAATTATGGCTTTGGAGTGGCCAAGTCAAAGTCTGGATTTGAATCCAACTGAGATGCTGTGTTGTGACCTGACCTTAAATGGGCAGTTCATGCTAGAAAACCTTTCAAGATGGCGGGGTTGAAGCAATTCTGCGAAGAGTGGCCCAAAATTCCTCCACAGCGATGTGAAAGACTCATCACCAATTATCGCAAATGCTTGATTTCAGTTATTGCTGCCAAGGTTGTCACAACACATTAGGTTCAGGGGGCAATTACTTTTTCACAGCGGGTCAGAAAGGTTTGGGGTTTTCTTTTGCGCCTAAATTAATAAATTGAATTGTCATTTGAAAACTGCATTTTGTATTTCCTTGGGTTGTAGCTGTGTGATATTAAAATTGGTTTGTTGAACTGAAATCCTTGTGCGCACACGGCAACTGCCTGAGTTTGCAATGAATGTGTGCTAGGTCCCGAGAATTGACAAGATTCTTGGAAATGTGAAATTGATTTAAAAGAAAAATCCAAATTTAGACACCTGTAGCTGTGACGCAGCGTGAATAATTTCAGAAGAATTGTGTTTGATTCACTTGATTTATTCAACATAAAATAGTTTTTCTAAACACATATGTAGAATTCATTGTTGAAGTAAGCTTTTGTTAAAACGTATGAAATCAACACATCTTTGCAGACCACTAAGCTACTTTGTTAAAACGATACGCTTCATTACATTTGCAAATCATATAAAGTATCATACAGAGTGACACTAAAAAGGATGCTTAAGCTCAAAATTACAGCCATTTGGCAACGACAACAACACACACACTTTCAAATCATCAAAGCGTACGCGGACCAACGACGGAGTTGCTGTACATGACTTCAAGATTTAAGATCACAGACAATCAGCTGAGGTAAAGTGTTGTAAGTATGATTGACTCATTGTCATGCGTGGCGGGCAGCAAGCGGAAAGAATGTGGCCAAGGTGAAGTGCCAGTCGAACTGGTTCATCGAGATCCTTGAAGATTGGATTTACTTCTTTGTTGAAAGCAGTCTTTGACCACACTAAGCTGGCAAAAAGAAAACCAGGAGGATGACAGCGACAGAGTCCTCTCTGGGTGTCACAGTATTACATCCAAAAGTCAATCAGGTTCTAAATTTAACAGGAGAATTTCAAAACACATCCTGATGCATGTATGGATTCAAGTGATTTTTTTTTTTTTTTTTTGTTTAAATGGATTGAGTTCTCGGGTCAGTGTGCTAATAGGGCGAGGTTTCATCATAGGAGGTCGTGCTCAGGTCAAAGAATTCCTCCAACTTCCACTGCAAGGTCTCAAATGTGGGTCGGTCCTGTTCATTCTCATTCCAGCAGTCCATCATGATGTCATACATGATTTTGGGACACTTGGGGGGACGGGACATTCGGTAGCCTTGAGGAACTTGTTGGACAACCTGGTAGTTTGTCATGTCTTGACAAAAACAAGGAGAAATTGTCAGAGGGAACGACAAAAAAAAAAAAAAAACGGTATAATATACTGTAGCTCGGGTGTGATTGTGATTTATTTATCTTTGGTCTTACCTGGGTAAGGCATTTTGCCAAATGTCATGATCTCGTACAACAGAATACCAAATGACCAGACATCAGATTTGATCGTGAATACGTTGTTGTGGATGACCTCGGGAGCAGTCCACTTCACCGGAAATTTGGTACCTTCTCTTGCCTCATAGACATTGTCATTCTGGATACAAAACACAAATAACAAACCTGAATTAAATCACACAACCAAAGTACTTCTGAGTCACTAAAGAGAACTTGCAATTTAAAAAAAGGATTTATTCATATGTTCTGTGAAGAGCAGATTTGGATTTTCCCTCGGGATGGAAGAAATCGGTGTGGCTTTTGCATGTTCTCTCTGTGCTTATGTCATTTTGTTTTTAGGGAACTCCAATTTCTTTCACGGTCAAAAAACATGTAAACTGGAGTAACAGATCAAAAACAGTACATTTCCCATAATTCCATTGGTGGGCCCCGTGATTGTTTTCCCCCCTTGTAGTCCCAAAGCAAAGACCTCAGCTACAACTTTTGACATCAAATGGATGGATCGGAATAAAATTCTTGATTTATGCAGCGTATGCAAGACTTACCTGAAAGACCCTGGCGAGACCAAAATCAGCCACTTTGCAGATGTTGTTCTCCCCAACCAGCACATTCCTGGCAGCAAGATCTCGGTGAATGTAGTTCTGTAACTCCAGAAAAGCCATCCCAGATGCCACCTGAGCAGCCATCTCGATCTGGTCCGACAGCTTTAGTTTGGCACCCTTGTCCTCTGAAATTATTTAGACCACCAAAACGAGTCAGTCATTTTGTGGAACTGTGTAGTATGCAAAACTGAGTTACGATGCAGAGTTAGCAATGGTCAACAAGCAGTTCAAAAATGTTTTAAATCGAATACAAAAATCTGAGGAACCAAGGATTAGTGTACATAACACATCACAGAAAGAAGCTTACATTAAAAAAAAAAAAACATCATCTCTCAGCATTGTCAAACATTTTTCCCCCCATCAGTGCACAAGCTTCCATATTCCCTCAACGTAAAAATCTTCAGACTGATTTCTCAGCCAGTCGCTCACAACACTCTTAATCATCACTTTCAAACTTCGTGCCAACTACCGTGAACTGCTGAGGCGGGTCAAGGAAGAGACAGAGAACAAACGCAGGGGTCATCGGTCAGGAGGAGTCACCTTGCATCAAGTCACCGCAAGGCCTCACACAGCAGCCCAAACAGTGCAGACCATCAATGAGCTGGGCTGGGCAGACCTTGCCCCTTCTGACTTTCACCTATTTGGTCCCTTAAAGCGTTCACGAGAGGCACCAAGGTTCAAAGTGACGATGAAGTCAAAAGTGTGAGCGACTGGCTGAGACATCGGTCCAAAGATTTTTACCCTGAGGCAAGATGGAAGCTTGTGCACAGATGGGAAAAGTGTGTGACAGCGCATGCATTTTTTCCGTTTAATAGTTTCCCATAATGACTTCCGGATCTGCACACCCTGGGGCATTATTATATAATGAAAAATATTAAACGGAAAACATGCACTACACACTTAAAACCATAGAATTATGAAAAGAATGTTTACTTCATTTTTTTAAGGTATTGGTATAATGCAGCCTGAATGCTTACAAAAAATTGTGACGCAAATTTCAATATCCTATAGTATTGTGGGAAAAAAAATGCTGACCTTAAGTCATGCAACGCAGACATAACACCATAAGATTACATGTTTTTTTTCTTCTTTTTTTTTTTTTTTTTAAATCAGAGCAAGACATTCATATATGAGATTTTGAGCTGTGTGACGTCTGACTCACAGAAGCACTTTTGCCTGCTAAAACAAGACATTTGAGGAAGCCTGGTTTAGTAACAAGGGTTCAGTCGTCACTTGAACTGAGTCATTCTGTCAGCCTCAACGGTAAGCGTCGATTCAGGCTTTGAAAAGTCGTCGGACAGCACTCTTTGCTAGCTGTCAGCTGCTAAAGCAATATCGGAGACACGTCAACCATAACTGAATCATTACAGGACCATACAGCCAACTTCAAAAGAAAATGCCGACAAAGGCTATCATGTTGATGTCCATGTATTTGGGAGACTTTTATTTTGAAGTTGGCTTGCACAGGTGCACATGATCAAGTGTTGTTGCAGCTGGCTTCAGTCACCTCAATTACTCGGATACTCGTTTAGCCCCTATACAATTGGAATCCCAAGTAACAGTTCCGAGTCTCCAAATATTAAAAAAATACTATTACTATTTTAGTTGTAAAACAACAACAAAAAAAGCCCTCACTGTTTAATGCTACGTCTTGCAGCAGAGGCTGAGGTCATTGACGTTCCAATCACCAGACCAACTTGTGTGTCTTTTAAGTGTCCTTTGTTATCGGTCCAGTTTTGTTGATATCTGACCAATGAATGTGACATCATTTCTCTCCCCCCCCCCCCAATATAGGTCGTATAGTTATTCTACATCCCTCAACGTAACAATAATTTCATGTGATAAAATAAAAATAAACAAATGGAAAAAAATGGATTCAAAAAGGAATAAGAGAAAAAAAGCACGTACTTTGAAGGTATTCAAGCAAGCTGCCGTTCTTCATCAGCTCGGTGATAATATAGATGGGCTCTTCCATGGTGCAGACAGCATAAAGTTGGATTAGTTTGGCATGCCTCAGTCTCTTCATGATTTGAGCCTCTCTGAGAAAGTCCTCTGCGCCCATGGTACCTTGAATATATCAAACAAAAGACTCTCAGTATATGAAGTATCATAGGTGCCAAGGGGTAAAATAAAATGTTCCAGTCACTGACCAGATGAAAAGATTATTTATCACATAGAATATGTACTACGAGGACAAAAGTGGTTCAATCAGTGTGCGGGTTCAAACTTTGGGGAAGAGTCATCTGCCGGCATAACATGCACCGGTGCAGAAAGAAAGACAAAGTTGGATGCCACACAAATATTAGAACAGGATTCAGTGATAATTAATTAGCAAATGAAACAACATACAAAGTCACACTCCAATGATCCCATTTTTGGTAACTCATTGAAAACTGGACAACTTTGATTGCCTAACGTCCATGTTCATAGAGATAAAACTATAGATTTAAAAGTCTCTTGACGAAGAATATCACAAAAGCATCAAGACTGAATCTGACTGACATTACTCTTTTTCAATAATCCAAATTAGCAACAATTGATAAGCAATGTAATGTTTAAAAAAACAAAAACAATAAAGACAGTAAAAAAAGCACAAAAACAGTACTGTACAACTAAAAATCAAGTCTCTTGCTGAGTCAAAAGCCAAAGAATAAAAATGAGTTTTGAAACGAGTTTTAAAGATGGGCAGCGAGGGGGCTTGTCAAATGTTCAGTGGGAGGTCAAGGCTCGATCCCCTCTGAGCCTCCGTTTAGTTCTCAGTACCTCTAATAGTGTCTGGTCCGCAGACCTGAGGCATCGGACAGGGGCGTCGGAATGGAGGAGCTCAAAGAGGTGAAGTGGGGCGGGGCATTTTGAAAGATTTGAAAACAAATAAGAAGATCTTAAAAAGAACTCTAAAATGTACAGGGAACCAGTGAAGGGATGCCAGATTAGGAGTTATGTGCTGCCTCTTACGAGGACCAGTCAAGAGGCGAGCAGCAGCATTCGGGACCAACTGGAGACGCTTAATGGAGGATTGGGTGACTCCAAAGTAAAGTGCATTACAGTCATCCAACCGGGATGTGACGAAGGCATGAATGACTGTTTCAAAGTGTTCATGAGAAAGGACTGTTTTAATTCTAGACTCCAGTGGTGTCGAGTTGACTTTACTTTCATCATCGTTTCACATTTATGCTCATCTTCAACACCCACCAAACAAACTCTCCAAAAAGCAGCGGACTCTAAAAACGGCTGTCAAATCTCCATGACTACATGTTACTCAGTAATTTAAGATTCCTGCCACTGATTATCACTGTTACATAATTTCTCTCAATAAAATCGCTTTTATTGTTTGTGTACAATAACCTGTAAGTGAAAAGGCTGAACTTATTTTGTAAAATCGTCACAATGCTAAGACAAAATGTGATGCAGTCTATGAAAAAGTTGAAGCTTGGGTGTCATTCAGAGTACAATGATGCACATTATACCTCAAGGTCTAACTAAGGAAAGATTTTAGAGGAGAGTCTGGATGATTCTTAAGTGGCTGTCACGGTTACAAGTGTTGAACCGCAATGAGAAATCAATGGGTGTATTTGAATAAGGTGGCCAGTGACAATGAAGAAAATTTACATAGACGCATGCGGACGCTCATAATAGCAAAAACCTGTTCGACTAAGCACGTCACCGGTTCGGGCGCGCAACTGCCGTGCTTGATGCAACGGAAGTCGAGCGTGTGAATTTCAAGCTTCGTCTACCGCTCCATTTAAAAAAAACAGTAATGTTAGCTTAAGGTACCAAATGGCTTCCTCTAAGTGATTACATAAAATCTTGCCTGCCCTTGTCCACAAGGAAAGAGAATTTGAACAGCATTTATCAAAGCCCTTACCAGGTTTGAGGGTCTTCACTGCAACGGATGTGGTGTCATTCCATAGGCCCTCATAAACTTCTCCAAACTGACCTGCTCCCAGTTTATGCAGGAGTTTGATGGAACTGCGGTCAATCTCCCATTGGTCCACAGTGTTATAGGAGAGGCCGTTCGTCTGCGGAGCCTCAATCTAAAGCAAAGAGAAACAATAATTTCCGCTTTGTTATGCAGTGTGCAATATGAGCAGTTCTCATTCCGAGTAAGCCATTCACCGCAATTCTATGAGGAAAGTGCAAATAGATTTATTTTCAATAAAACTTGTCCAAATGTACTCCCCAAAATGCATACCTTTTTGCATGGTTCGCCCAGACGCACGCAGAGCCCATCTGGTTGTGTCGAGTAGTGAAGCACCAACTTTTTCAGCGTTTCAAATACTCTGGTCCTCGAGACATAGTAGAGACCCAGCTCTGTTTTTCTTAGTTTATAATGCTTCACCCTCCCGTTGTCCAACACTGAAAGACAAAATATCATATTAACTGCATTAAGTCTTCCGCTGGGTCCAACTAAACACAGCGGATGAATTTAATTTAATTTTTTGTAAATGTTGGTAGCATCCTTGCCAAGAAAATAAATATTGGTCCTGAAAAGAACATTATTATCAGTTCTCCCCACTCTCCAACATTTTCAAACTTCCTCAGTTAGTGAACTAATTGACTTAATTGTAAGACTTGACTCAGCAGCGGGTCACAATGAAATCAAAGCCAAGCTACTTAGGGAAGTAATTTGCTTCCTTAGCAAACCTCTGACCTGTCTTTGCAGTCTCATTTGAAACCAGGGTAGTTCCTAATGACATTAAAGTGGCAGAGGCCCAGTCTTTAAAGAATGAGAACACAGTGTTTTAATAACAGAACATATTTTCATTTTGCCTTGCTTCCCTACAGTAAATTAGAAAAGTATGGAATTTCATAGAATTTCAATACCACTCAATACAAAATGTTTGCTACTGTATTTTCCTCACTCTCTCAAAAGCATTCAACACAGTGGACCGAGATATTCTTATGTCAAAACTGCAACACAAAGCCAACACATTGCTGTGTTCAGCAGGTTTAGTAATTCGATAACCTTAGAAACAGGACAATATAGTCTGTCTGGATAAATGGTCAGACTTCTATGGAAGCGAAACAAAAATATGGTGTGCCTCATGGGTCATTTCTCAGGCCCCTCCTGTACATTTAAATTAACGTATTTAAGATTTGACTCTTCTTTTACCTATAATGGGCATATTACACAAACATTGCTATGTCTCACTCTGAAGCAGAATTAATTCTAAAGTTTTTAAAATAATTTTGTCTGGCAATTTACCGAAAAAAATTCACCTAATCAGGAGAGGCCTCAACAAGATAGTGACCCAAAACGCATTGCCAAGACAACAAAGACTTCATCGGGGAGGAAAGTACGAAGTCTAGACTGGCAAAGTCAGTCATCGGATCGTCACCCAATTGAGCATGCGTTTGACCTCCTGGACAGCAGACTGAAGGTAAAGCCCCCTAGAAGCAAACGTGAACTGAAAGATACTGCAGTAAAGTCCTGAAAAAAGCATTTCAAATGAATAATGCATCAGTCTGTTGAAATCAATTTCCATTAAATATTAAAAGTTAATTTGCCAAATCACCCAGTGGGTTTTACCAAGCAGATTTCGATTTTCATTAAACTTGCTGTACACATTGATAGTGACCATATAATACAAAATCTGAAATTATAGGTCAATCAGAGCAGGGGTTTGAGAGCTATACTCCACCGAATTTCAACAAGTTTGACAAAAAGGGTTGTGGCCACCATCCTTTGAATCCTTACATCTCAGTAAGTACTGGTTTAATCTTCACGAAAACAGGTATTGCTGGAAAGGCAATTCAACAAGGAATCTGAATCTGATATCACATAGATTAGTGCAGATTTGAGTAACTTTACCTCGACCTTTAACTTGACCTTGTGGATCACGTGACCTCAACTAAATTTCTGATGAAATATAATCTCTCACATGTTCTTTAAAACACATAAAAGTTTCAGCGATGTAATTTTTGTTGTTTAACAGCAATAAGTGTCCATTCCCTCACGTTTCCAAAAAATACTCAATGAATATTCAACTTTCAGTGAATGCTCAATTAATATTCATCTTTCAATAAATCTAAAATGAATATTCACTGAATGGGAAGAGGGATGTCACTTGTATAGCGCTTTTGTAACTCAGGTACTGAACACGCCTCACACAGTTAGTCAGCCAATCCTCCATTAAGCTTCTCCAGTTGCTCCAGAATGCTGCTGCTACTGCTGCTTGCCTCTTGACTGGTACGCGTGAAAGGGAGCACATAACTCTTACTCTGGCATCCCTTCACTGGCTCCCGATATATTTTAGATAATTTTTAAGATCCTATTATTTGTCTTCAAATCTTTAAATGGCCTCGCTCCACCTCACCTCTCTGAGCTCCTTCGCCCCTACACACTTTCCCAGTGCCTCAGGTCTGCGGAACAGACATTATTTGAGATACCGAGAGTTAAGCTGAGGCTCAGAGGGGATCGAGTCTTTTTCGTTGCTGGTCACTCTCTTTCTAATGACCTCCCACTGAATGTTCGGCAAGCTCCCTCGCTGCCCATCTTTAAAACTTGTCTTAAATCTAAGTTTTACTCTTTGGCTTTTGAGTCAGCATGAGACTTGATTTTTAGTTTTACTGTTTTGTGGTTTCTGTGTTATTAATTAATTGTTTTATTGTCTGAATTATTTTTGCTCCATATAGAGCACTTTGCATACAGTGATGGTTGTTTTAAAGTGCTCTATCAATACAGTTGAGTTGAGTGGACTTGTTACCTCATTCACCTACTGGTGACCCAGCATCAAGAGCAACTCGGGGTTCAGTATCCCTCTAATGGACACTTCGACATGGTTGCAATGGCCGTGGATTGAACCACCAACCTCTGGGTAGTGAAACGAGCCATGCCACCCATAATATTTGAGGGATGTATACTTTGATTCCTGCTAAACAAAACATTTTACATCTCTGAAACTTTTACACAACCAGATTTAAACGCCATGAAATAAAAATTGGAATTCTGAAATTTGCTCTCATATTTATCTTTTGATCTGAAACCCAAATGTATACAGCAGGTGGTTCAGACTCTGGTCCTCGAGGGCCGCTTTCATGCTTGTTTTCCATCTTTCCTTGCTGCAACACATCTAATTCAAATGATCAGGATTGTGATCAGAACCCTGCGGAGCTCGTTGATAAGGGCGGCCCGGATAGCATGTCAGCCTCACAGTGCAGAGGTGCAGTGTTCAATTCTGGTTCCGGCCTTCCTATGTGGAGTTTGCATGTTCTCCCTGTGCCTGCATGGGTTTTCTTCGGGTACTCCGGTTTCCTCCCACATTCCAAAAACACACCTGGCAGGTTCACGGAACACTCTAAATCATCCCTGGGTGTGAGTGTTAGCACAGATGGTTGTTCGTCTATGTGTGCCCTGCGATTGGCTGGCAACCAGTTCAGGGTGTACCTTGCCTACTACCCAAAGACAGCTGAGATAGGCTCCGGCACGCCCCGCAACCCTTGTGAGGATAAGCGGATCAGAAAATAATATATATATATATATTTATTTATTGTGTGTGTGTGTGTGTGTGTGTGTGTGTGTGTGTGTGTGTGTGTGTGTGTGTGTGTGTGTGTGTGTGTGTGTGTGTGTGTGTGTGTGTGTGTGTGTGTGTGTGTGTGTGTGTGTGTGTGTGTGTGTGTGTGTGTGTGTGTGTGTGTGTGTGTGTGTGTGTGTAAACGGGAAGAGTGTGATAAACATTTAAATTTGGGATTATTTTGGCCCTTAAAATGGGAACCTCCGAGCCACTCTTTTCCTAATTTGTTTTTAAAAGGTTGCGCGTCAAAAATGTGTATGCCTACAGTCAAGCTGAAACTTACCGACATTTTTCTTCTAATTGCCCTTCCGGTTGATACGCACCGTGGATTCAAGAACATGTGCTATTTAATCTTCTCCATCTCCACTTGTCGCTGACGGTGAGAAGCAGAAGATTTTTGCCATAAAAGCATTATCATGCTCAACAGCCTCTGCGGTACCACCATAACACGGTAATCCGCCATTGTTGTGAAAATGTTGTTGGTGTTTGCATCCAGTCATGTGAGAACGTCATCTCAGATTATTGAATTGAATGGAGTCCGAGTTGCATATACAGGAAAAACGGCGCAAGGATACCATTCTGAGTAAGTCCAACACTGAGGAGCATTTACGATGTCATGGGAAAGTGTGAATATTTCGGAATTTAATGGGTAACACACTAATGGGTAATTGTGATTATTTTGGGGTAATTTTGGCCCGTCAAATCGTACAACCCCCTACACTTTACAACAGTTGAAATTGTGGATAAATGTGAAATAGGTTGAAACCAATTGTAATCACTTGTTTCTTACCTGAGAGGGAGAGCTCTCCTTTCTGGCTTTCACAGTTCCTGATTAGGAAGGATCCTTGTTGGTTCATTCCTGTTAACAGCATCTTCTCTGCATCCAGCCTTTTTGTGTCCGGAAAATACCAGCTACAAATGAAAGTTAACACAGAAACTTAATCAGACATGTCAGGCAATGTAAATGAGCTGCCCCAAAAACATGGATCCATAAATTTACTAAATACATATTACATATAAAGGTTCAATTCAGTTGAGATAGTCAGACTAATCTCCCGTTTTTTTTTTTTTTTTTTTTCCCCGGACAATCGTCAATGTGCAGTCTCTTCAAACACTTTTCTGTGAGAACGATTTCAAACCACTTCTTGCTCACAACAAAACAACTTGCTCAATTTATGTACAAGACAGAGGAGAACTTAAAAATGGAAAAACAAATTACATTTACTGCTCATCTATTACCTCATGCATTTGCACGCTCAACAGCCTTCTGACTTGACTTTCTAGATTTGGCTTTGACAGATGGTGCTTTTTGTCTGTAATATGGAGACGCAGCTCAACCCCATGTTGTTCATCTAGAGCCAAAATCATTAGGATTATATATTAACGAAATACTATGCTGTGTACCACTGGTTGATGACATTAGTTCATAATTGCATTCATGAATCTACTGTAGTTTTCTGCAGGGTGACCGGAAGAGTGATAAAACTGATTGGCCATGACAGCGGCTATGGAAAAAAAAATGTTTGAGATTTATTGCATTAAAGTGGTGGGACCCAGAGTGATACAGAATATTTTTCACCGGGCCCCAAATTACTGGTCCTACACACATGCCTCACTCTCCAATATTTCACAGTGAACATATGCTGGGAAAAAAAATCCATATTGTATTTGGGTTTACTTTTACCCAGACACTTGGACAGGATTAAGAGGTTGGAATCTACATCTAAACGTGTAACTGAGCTAATTTATGAGTTCATTCACTCTTACAGTACTTTTGAACTTTACACGGTCAAGTAAAAAACGAGAGAGCATCTGATTTTAGTTTATATAGTTAGTATACAGTAACTAATATTGTCTGGTGTAGGGTGATATAAAATGTTTTAAAATCCATACGTGATGTGTTAAATTAAAAAAATAAAACAAAACAAACAAATCTTATTTTTACTTGCAGGCTTACAATGTTTGATTAAAGGCGAAGAAACATGACGTCATATCCCTTCATGACCAAAACTATTTTCAAACAGGATAAACCTGTATACGGTTTCGTCAAGCAAAACAGAGGACATCTTCCAGTAACTTATGTTCTTTTTGCCTCTAGTTGCATCTCTACTTTTTCAATTGACGTTATAAACAGTGTTGGGGATAAGATGTCAATTGAATTAAGTACTGTATCACTAAGTACTTCCAAACATCAATGCCTCGAAATAATATGCCCTACGTCTGAAATCTATTTCATACAAGTGTACGCCCCGGTGTGAAAATTAAATTATTAACTTCTAACAATGATTAACTAGTCCGACAACATTCCTTAATGGAACGCTCAATATTAAAAGTTTGTTTTAAGACTACATTTTGGATTTGTAAACACGTGAACAAAGGATACGGCCATACTACATTTACACAGTTGTGATACATCAACACCAAACATTGTGTATAAAACAAAAACCTAACTATTTTTCAAATTCAGGAAATTGAGAGCATGACAGCGAGGAAGACACGACCATTACTCACGGTTCTGCGTCGAGACTCTCCACTGGCGCCACATAATTTGCGGGGATATAGCCTTTTTTGGATGTCGAAATTCCAGTGAGCGCTTTTGCAAACCACCAGTCCTTGGCTTTTTTATCAAGAGCTTCCAAAATGTCACCTGCGTTGAAGCTCAAATCCTCATTGGTGCGAGCAGAATAGTCATAAAGTGCGATAAAACGATTCTCGATATTATTCTCTTCTTGGCTTTTCAAATACGGCTTAATCGTTCGGACAGCGCTTGGGTTTTCAATGACGACAACGGGTTCTTTTTTGGGTGTATCGTTCTTGATTCCACTAGAATTTGATTTTTTAAAACAAGTGCGACAACCCTCCCAACACACTGAAAACTTCGTTCTGATATCCATGCTCAGTCAATCACAGCAATTCATTTTGAGTACATCTTCCAGTCGGCGTCTCTCTCATGACCCTCCACATATCACGTAAGTAATACCGAAGGAACTAAAAATGTATCGGAGGGCAGCACTACGACATGGTGAGCAGAGTCCAAAGTGGATGGTGGTAATCACCTGCACCTGATGAGAACTGGGGAGTGTCACTTCCTCTGAAGTGATATAATGTCGCGTTCATGTGCCAACTGGGAAAATCTGAAAAATGTCCTACTGACTGAACGGGAGTCATATTGAAAAGCGACTTTTTCATTGCTTGAAAACAAATAGTTGGGTCTGTAGAATTCGTGCCTAACCACCAATGTGCAAAATTTCACAGCACACACACACACACACACACACACACACACACACACACACACACACACACACAATATTTGCTACTAGGCACTACATGTGTGATACTCACAAAATAAATGCATGTTGGGATAGCATTTATTATTTTCCTTCCATCAAAGAGTTACTTTTTTGGTTGACTGCAATTGTAATGTTGCGTTCAAATGCTAAAGGGAAAATCTGAAAATGTGTTTTACTGACAGAAGATGTCACATTGAAAATGTACTTTTTAATTCCTTGGACACAAATAGTTGGCCGGGTCTGCGGAGTTTGATGCCTACCCATAAATGTGCAAAATTACACGTCACACACATAATATTTGCTACGAGGGACTACAGGTGTGATACTCACAAAATAAATACTTCAGATATTTATTATTTTTTCTTTCCATCAAAGAGTTACTTTTTGGTTTCCTGCAATTGTTTCATTTTATACTGTTTGATTGACGGTATATTTAGATCGTTACATGAGTATGCTGGTCTGTAAAATAAATGGCCACTGGGTGGCAGCATTGACCAATAAGCGCCACTGGCACTTTAAGGTGGAGCAAAAGTTGGGGCTCATGAGACGCGATGTCGGGCTCATCTCATTTGGCTACAGTAATTCCTGTGTCCAACCTACGGTCCGGGAGCCATTTGTGGCCCACCGTCCTTTTTAATTTTTTTTTTTTTTTTTTTTTATCAACAGCCCACGGCATATACTAATAACATTTTAAATGGCTCGCAATTAGCCAGCGCAAATGGCTAGCATTAAAAGCATAGCGATCAAAAAAAGTGGCCTGACTGGAGCAATGGGGATGACCACTACCACTAATAATAAACTTCTCGAGATATGCAAAAACACAAACATATTTACAGCTAAAAAGGTAACAAAATATATCTTCATAACACTGTGGAGAATAAAGGTAATTCCGTTTCACAAACAAAAATGTTTTCCTCCACTTTCTGCTTTGTGTCAAGGTCCAATTTATGAATATATCACGTAAGTGGTCGTCACAAATTACTTAATTTACTACAGATTGCTCTTGTTTTTGTTCTGATTGTGGAGATGCGATTCAGCAGTTGCTCAGTCAAGGGGCAGATCTTTTCAAGTGGGATAAAGGGTCGCCGCCACCCCAAAAATGAATAAAAAAAAAAATCTTCAACCTTAAATCTTAAAGCCTTATCATCTTTAACAGAAATCATTAAAGGGGCAATTTTTCCAATATAATTACAGATTATGTACATACTCCATAACTACATTGTATGCAATGTACAATTGCTTGATTGATTTAATTAAGTTTAAAAAAGTGGGCCTTGCATCTTTTTTTCTTATTGCACCCTTTGGGAAAAAGGTTTGGACACCCCTGGTCTAGTTGCATATTCCTCTGTGTACATGCTAGCACCTCCCACTAGAAATGTCTTCGAGTCAGGAGGAGATTGACACAGGAGCAAGGAGGGAAGAAAGAGAAATGCTTTGGATTAGTGATACAATCACTCCTCGATGTCTTCATTTGAAGGAGAAGCCTGCTAATAATGAAGTCAAGTCATTGACGCATGTCACAATTATTACTATCACCTCAAGTGTCCACTGTATGCTTTATGTTTCAAGTGGAATTAACTTAAGCCAAATATTAACACTGTTACACTTTGCAGATCCAATGATGAGCATGATTGGTATGTCTCCCCTGCTCCCTCCATCCCCATTGCACATTCAATCCATCTGTCCATATATCCATTTGCTTATCTACTTTTCCTCACAAGGGTCACAGGCGTGCTGGAGCCTATCCCAGCTGAATTCGATACACCCTCAACTGGTTGCCAGACAACACACAGGACACACAATTTAGACTGCTCAATTAAACTGCCATGCATGTTTTTGGAATATAGGAGGAAACCGGAATACCCAGAGAAAACCCACGCAGGCACGGGGAGAACATGCAAACTCCAAACAGGTAGGGCCGGAGCTGGAATCAAACCATTCACCACTGCACTGTGAGGTGGATGTGCTAACCAGTTGACCAGTGTGTCACCCCTGCCAGTGGATATTTGTAAATATGTAAAAAAAAAATAATAATAATAATGTTTATGCATTACGTTGAATGCAAAAAAAATGAAGAACCATGAAAATGATTTTAATTTGATTCTTGTGTATTTGAGAAAATAGCAGCCTAATAATTACGGTAAACTTTAGAAACAGATAGTGTAGTAACCACGAGCAAATTTAATTACGTTTTTTGGTATCAAGTACTACCCTAAATAGAACAGAGAGAAGAAGACAGAAAATAGAAGAGGCAGAAAAAAAATTACCGACAGAGGGATACAGAACAGGAGTTTGCCGGGTTACCTTCTACAGCGCACTGCATTCTCAAATGAAAAGAAAAATCAAAGGAAGGAGAAAGGAAAAAAAAACAACCCCAGGCTAAGCTCCTGTAAGTGGAGCACAGTATAGATTTGGAATACACCTCATCAAACAGCCCAGATGCACTGAGCAGGCTCTGCAAGCCACAGAGATGTCACCACATCCCAGGCGGTTGCGCTGCAACAGAGGAAGGGAGAGAGTTTATGGAGGGAAAGCCAAGCAAAAGGCTTTGATGATAGAGGTGTGTATTGCGTTGTGTAATTGAGTGGGGTTTTTTTTGTAAACCAGTGTCCATGCCAAAACACATGACCATTACCAAAGGTCATGGATTGCAGATATGCTGGAGTCTATCCCAACCATCTTCGCGCAATAGGCGGGATACACCCTGAATCGGTTGCCAGGCAATTGCAGGGCACACATTAATAAACAAACATTCACTCACAATCACACGTAGTGACAATTTAGAGCATTCAATCAACCTACAATACATGTTTTCGGAATGTGGGAGGAAACCAGAGTACCCAGAACCATACTGGCACAAGGAAAACATACAAACTCCAGACAGGAAGTTAGGAGGCCAGATTCAAACCTTGGACCTCTCCACTGTGAGGCGGACAACCTAACCAGTCATCCACTGTGCCATCCTTCGGAAAAAAAATGCAATATGATTTATATTTTTACATATTTGTTTGGGTGTGTTGGCGGTGTTCCAGTGTTTAGCGCGTCGACCTCACAGTGCAGAGGTCGTGGCTTCGATCCCAGCTCCGCCCACCCTGTGTGGAGTTTGCATGTTCTACCCGGGTGGGTTTTCTCCGGCTACTCCGGTTGCCTCCCACATTCTAAAAACATGCATGGCAGGCCGATTGAACACTCAAAATTGTCCCTAGGTGTGAATGTAAGCGTGGATTGTTGTTCGTCTCTATGTGCCCTGCGATTGGCTGGCAACCAGTTCAGGGTGTATGGTATAGGCTCCAGCGACCCTTGTGCGGATAAATGGATAAGAAATTGGATGGATGGATGGATGGATGGAGGAATACATGTATGGTCTTTTCTGTGGTTGTTTAATATGTATAGTTTTGAAATACCGGAGGATGGCTGAGCACCCTCAATTCACATCCAAAGCACAAGATCTATGAGGCAGACATGCAGCTGGGCAGCTGCCACTTTGGAGTACTGGCTGGGAATAGAGGGGATTGGTAGCCCGAGTTGACCATGAAGGGGGGCATGCCTGTCGCAGTGCTGATCGGTGAAGTGTGAGCATAATCCACCCAGGGTAGGTGGGTATACCAGGTTGCAGGGAGGTATGAGGCTCCACAGCGCAGTGTGGTCTTCCGGTCTTGGTTTGCTTGTTCTGTCTGCCCATTGGTCTGTGGGTGAGAGCCTGACAAAAGGCTGGTCGAGGTCCCTCCAGACATGAGGTGAACTGTGGAGCCCTGTCCGACACGATGTCCCTGTTAATTCCGTGGAGCCTGAAAAAATGTTTGACCAGGAGGTTAGCGGTCGCTAAGGCGGTGGGGAGTGGAACAAAATGAACTGCCTTCAAGAAACGATCAATGATAGTGAGATTTGTGTAATAACCCTGTGATAGGGACAGACCGGTGACAAAGTCCACTGCGATGTGAGACCACGGCCGAGAGGGAATGGGTAAGGAGCTGCTCCAGCTTGATGGGAAGGTTTGTTGCGAGCGCAGTCTGGGCATTAGGCGACATAATCACGAACATCTGCAGCCATGGACGATCACCAGAAGCGCTGCTGGATAAGCGAGGGTCCGATGGACCCCGGTGTGTGATATGTTAAGTGTGCCCCCACAGAAGCACACGCGTCCTGGTGTAGGTTGAACGAAGCATTTCCCTGGCTGGCATCGATCGGGAGCCGGGTGATTCTCAAGTGCGCCAAGCACTTCCTGCTCTACTGACCAGTGGACTTCCCCTACCACGCATTCAGAGGAGAGGAGTGTCTCAATGTGGTTCTCCGCCTCCTCAGAGGCGAAGTGCAAGGAGAGGGCATCGGGCTTCCCTTTCAGGGATCTAGGGCGGTAGGTGATGGTGAAGTCAAAATGCCCAAGGAAAAGGTCCCATGGGCGTGGAGGGAGTTCCATCTCTTACCAGAGTAGAGGTAAGACAAACATTTATGGTCCGTCGAGACAATAAAGGGCTGGGTCGCTCCCTCCAACCAATGCCGCCACTTCTGAAGAGCCAGAACCACCGCTAGCAATTTACGGGTCTCCAAATCATAATTGCGCTCCACCGGGGAGAGATGTTGGGAGAAATAAGTGCAGGGGTGCACCTTCTGATCTGCAGGCAGGCATTGAGCATAGCCCCCACTCCTGAATCTGACACGTTCACCTCTACCCATATCTGCTGCTCGGGATCAGGGTGAATGAGAATTGAGGCATTTACAGAAATCTCTTCGACGGCCAAAAGCGGATTGAGCATCAGTGGACCACGTGACACGAAGTTTGCTGTAGGTCAACCGTGTAAGAGGCGCGCCAGTGCTGCTGTAGTTGTGAATGAATCGCCTGAAAAATTAGGGAACCAAAGAAAACATAGCTGCTTACGAGTGGCAGGAAGAGGCCACCCCCTGACTGCTTTGATTTTGGCAGGATTGGCGCCAAATTGCCCTTTTTACACCACATAGCCCACAAATTTAACAGTGGAAACATTAAACTCACACTTCTCTGCCTTGACAAACAACTTCTTTTCCAGCAGACTCCTGAGAAAATCGCTCATGTGATCCACATGCTCCTTCTGTGATCGAGAAAAAATAAAGAAATAAGGTAAACAAACACAGTCTTGTTTGGTCAGTGATGTACTGAGAGAATTACTAAAGATTGGAATACTTGTCAACCCAATGGGCCTGACCAGATACTGAAAGTGGCCTAAATGGGTAGGGAAGGCAGTTGTCAATTCATCATCCTCACGGATTCTCACCAAATGGAAGGTGTTACGCAAGTTCAATTTGGAGAACATCGTTGCATCATGAAGAGGGCTGAAAACAGAGTCAAGAAGTGGCAGATGGTCCTTGTTTTTTAGCGTGATAGAGTTTAGGCGAGTGTAGTCTATGTAAGGGCGCAGGGTTCCGTCTTTCGTCTTTCTTCTTTACAAAGAAAAACCCTGTGCCGACTGAAGACGAGGAAGGTCTTATGAGCCCTGCAACTAGTGATTCATTAGTATATATGTCTCCATTTCTTCCGGTTCAGGTTTGGTCTGGTTGTATAGCCTGTGGGATGGGACCTGAGCCTGGAGATACAATTATATACTGCAGTCATGGGCCTGTGTGGTGGGAGGGAATGTGCTAAGTCCTTACTACAAACCACATTTATGTCATGGTATTCACTTTGGACGTTACTCAAGTCAATAACTTCTGAGGCGTGGGCAGGGCCAGGGGATCTGGCGGGTAGCGCAGACCTTAGACCAGGGGTGTCCAAAGTCGGTCCTCGAGGGCCGCTGTCCTGCCTTTTTTCCAGCTCTCCTAGGAGCAACACACCTGATTCAAATCACCAGGATGGTTCTAATGCTGCTTCAGATCTGGCTGATGAGCTGATTCAGATGAATCAGGTGTGTTACGGCCGTGAGAGATGGAAAACAGGCAGGACGGTGGCCCTCCAGGCCCGGAGCTGGACATGCCTGCTTTAGACAGTGGGCGTGGCAATGGTTGGTCCAGTTCCGAATAGTCCCCGTGACCCAGTCAATGTGGGGAATGTGCAATGTTAACAAGGTTATCCCTAAAATCACAGGTGTGAGTGGAGAGAATAGTACGTAAAACTTAACTATTTCTTGGTGGATACTGGGGAGAACCAGGTTAAGGAGCGTAGTATGATGTGTTACCGTTTTCAGGGGACTTCCATCTATAGCTAGCACCTTCTTGGGGTAGGATAGCGGAGACAGTGAGAGCTTGTTATTTTGAACATAGTCAATGTCTATGAAATTGTCATGGGCCTCTGAGTTGATCAGGACCAGGACAAGCAATGAGCTTTTGATGAGTCAATCATACCTGGTCCACGTGTTTGGGAGTAGGAAGGGGGAGAGATTCAGCTCACCAAAGTCTCCCTTTCTACTGGTGAGGCTTGTCTTTTTGGCAATTCGGAAGAGCTGGCGAGGGAGTGGCCTCCCTGGCAGCGATTGGGCATGGTCTGGTCAGTGACACAGAATGGTATTTACCTGGTCGTCTGACAGCGCGATGGTCATGAACGACAAAAAAGTCGCGCGGTTTGACAAGGCCAGAACAAGCAACTCAAAGTGCACAGTGGAGCCCAGAATATACCGGGCTGCTGACAGCATGTAGCATTTTTGCACTCCCAGACTGATATATGAATGGACTAACAATGTACATTTCTTTAATGATCTTAACTGTTAAAGTGCTGCAAAAAAAGAAATTATTTGACAAGAGGACAATTACTTCAATCACAGCACTGCAAGACAGTATGCATGAAAACGGCGCTGTTTTTAGATGACAGCCACATCATCATAAGGGCAATGGCAAACTTGCCATCTGTCTTCTCGCTCTCTCACCCCATGTCTTT